GTTCGTGTGATACTAGAGATTATTAATGATTACGAAATTTGACTGGTACTGACTAAGTTAACGTAACGTAAAGTTGTAAGGATAAATCCCTTCATGTCATTCTGAATCCGAACGTGGGATCACGTAGAATTGATTCCTTGGACATAGTCAAGAATCATGCGGTCGAAACCTTAGCTTTCGCAATTCTGAAGTTGTATCATCGTCACAAACAGATATATGCACAGATGGGCGTGGATCTCTGGTACTAAGAGAGTCATGTAAAAGCGACTTGAATGCATTTGGATCATTAGTTACACTGTTTCTCTACGTTGCAGTGCTGGAAAGCTGAAGCTCAGGAAAAGCAGCTAGGAACTGGCAGTGCTTTTGACAGGTCTGCATCCTTAGTGACGTCGAGAATTCCACAGCGAAAATCTGTGGGATTTTCTTGATAAAAAGTAATTCCCTGATGAGTACTTTAAGAAGAAAGTAGGAGGTGCAGGTTGGGGATAAAATCCGAAGATCATTGCCAAAATACTACCTGGGAATGCGGGATTCTACGGAACTTCCAGAATTTGCCAGAAATAGCAACAGTTGCAAGATACAATATACCAAACATCATTGCGCTGTGCAACAAAAGTCACCTGACAAGATGGAACACCGAACAACCCCACCCCCCATTCCTCTACACACATACGCAAACCGCTTTTCCTGCTGTTACGATCGTATCAATAAACAACTACGGTAGCGGGAGGGTGCGCCAGGCACACCAGTTTACCCCTCTCTGTGTGTTTTGAGCTTTCTAAAACTTTTTGGATTGTCCTGTTCTGCAAATTTTTCACTTACTCGAAAAAAAAAACAACATGAAAAGGCTGACCTTGATGCTTTTACTTCAGCCTTACAGTTCAAGGATTTTTTTCTCAGTTTCAGGTCAGACTGGTTTCAAACTTCTCTGAAATTCGTTCACTCATTAGTTCTAAACGAGTACGGACAGAAAGCATGGATCAGCCGTAAACCATATTCTGCAACTTTGCAGCTGGCAAATTTTCCAGTTGCTTCACCTAATGCTACACTGTCTCGTGATTAGCCCACTGGCGATCAAAAAATGCGGTCACTCCGACCTGGGTGAATCCCTTAATCGATGAGGTACCTCAACGTGCCCCAAAAATGGCACATTTAAAGCGAGATGATGATGATGTTCAGCAGACTGGAAAGCCGTTAAATTGGTAATCCCTTCAAGCAATGAAACGAATGTCAGGGTCGCCGTCAGGCTGACCAGCCACGAAGCAGTACTGGGAGAAACAACGCAAGAATTTGCCCGATTCATTGTTGGAGAAGGACGCTATAAGTTGCAGTTAAATAACAAAACAAGTTAATTTAATCATGTATTAAAATTATTCATTATGATGTAGCGCATTTTTTACAGCAGCGAGAGCTTCCACTTTATTACTCTCGAAAAGCACTCCTGTAATTTTCATCGAGTGGCCGCAGTAACATCGAGAGCTCTATTCTTTAAAGGACAATTTAACTGCCCCTTGAATCCAGGAACTACGACTAAACTGACCACATATGAGACAGTTTTGTCTATAGTACCAATCTACCAGTCGCATCGATGACGCAAGATGCATTAGCTGTTCGTTCAGCTGCTCTTCACATTCCGATTCTCCAGATATGCGGCTAACAGCTTTACCAGTTGCTTTGACCAATACTGCTTGGCCTGACGGTCAACCTGACGGCGATTTTGGCACTCGTTTTCATCCCCTGAAAGGGTAAAACGCTCCACAATTCTTCGGGCAAAAACACTGCCAAAGTAAGCTGTAAGAAAAAAAAATCAGTTGAAAAAAACTTCCTTAACAAAAAATGAAACGGGCTGATAAAAAATTGAAAAATATTTTAGAGCAGACTTTTCGCCTTAGTACCAAATCAAATCTATCCAACGCTACAGTGAATTGCCAACTAGCTAAGAGCAAAATAAAGATCCAGCATCTCTGAGAAATAGACGGGGGCTGAAAAAAAGCACGTCCCCGCATCTTTCTCTAAATCCGCTTCGTCTTGGAAATGCTTCACTGAGTTTCCTCCTAGTAGCACATTACTCGGCTAGCATGGCGCATCTGGAAGTAATAAAAATGATGTTGTAGTAATGAAAATCGAGGATTTAAATCTAACAGTGAAGCAGCCAAGCTCTCTACGATTCGTTCATTTGTTTCGGTGGTAAATTGGTACAGGCACAGAGTGAGGAGTAAAAATTGCAATCAACTTGCTTTCAAGCAATTTTTAATATATATAAGCTATCGACTGCTTCACCAGATGGTTTTGCTGGCAGATGGTACCACTCGAACTACTTCAGCGTCATTTTAACCTCTCATACACAGTGACGAGGGAATTTCGTCTTTTGACCACATTCAAACGTTGACCGCGTTAAATCCCCTTCTTTTGCGCGGAAAAATGTGAGGAACTGGGAGAAAAGGATAAAGAACCAGGAAATCAGTAAAACGGTGTGCAGAACTTTACCAAATCTAATAAAATAGAAGTACCAAACGGGCGCAATATTATTGTATAGTAATACAGTAATATCGCTCGTTTTAATATAGTAATATTGCTTCTTTAATGTAATCACTGCTGTTCCTGGCATCACTTTGTAGAAATAATGCGTAAATAAAAAGTGCAGAGAATTGTTTCTTTCATGCATTTGAACGATTTTGAAATTTTGCAAAAATGTTGTTTTAAAATCCGTGTCGAATTTCAGATAAAGATCGTTTTTCCACTCAAAAATGAGGTTAAACGACGAGAATCCTCTAAATGTTTTATTTCAAACCAGGACACACGATGATAGTGGTGGTGCTCTTCAGACACTATTAATGGTGGCATGTGGTGTGCCTGATACCAGTGGGCAAGCTGTCGCGGGTATCAGGACACGCCGTGCCACCGAGAAAACCACAAGCACCGAGCGCATCGGTATCAGGCTGCACCGTCCGCAGCTCATCACCAAACAGAATTTTCCTCAACGACATCGTCGTCTCCGGCGCTGAAAGAACACTGGAAAAGATGAAAAGAGAGGAATAAAATCTGAAATAGGAAGCTCCAAGCACGACTTCCTCCCCCAAGTGGTCTCTAGCCTCTCGCAAATAAGAGCCGCTGGCTAGCCTTTGGTCAAGCTAACTAGGA